GCCTCATCCTCCTCTACTTCTCCTCCTCCCCCTACGCCTCCCCCAACATCCACCCCCCTGCTGCTGCTGCCTATTCTTATTATAATAATAATAATAATAATAATAATAATACTAATAATAATAATAATAATAATAATAATAATAATAATAATAATAATTATTATTATTATTATTATTATTATTATTATTATTATTATTATTATTATTATTATTATTATTATTATTATTATTATAATAAAAGAAAGACACGGCTAATGGGTCATGGGGGCGGATAGTGTGTAAGGTGGAGGGACATAATTAGAAAAATAGGAGTCTGAAATTAAGAATGGATTTTTCTCAAATGGTGCAAAATAGTTTGGACCTTTCCCTATAAAAAAAATGTATTGAAGAGTTATATCAAAGATTTTTTTTTTAAATAGCACTAGTGGAACAAAAAATTAGCCAACAACTCTCCTTTTTTTTATAAAAAACAATACGCACTAAATACATTACTTAAGTTCATATATTGTACTTGAGTTAATATATTGTTTCTACTTTCTAGTTCTTTCTCTATATTTCATTATTTCTCCAACAAATTCCCATCAGAGAAGAAGAAGAAAGGGAGACAAGTAGGGGGGAAAAGAAAAATAAAAAGAGGAAAATTTATGGCGACTAGTTCTACCATCTTCCATTAACGGACTCAAATTTCATGTAAGTTGTTTTACCTCTTTAAATTTTTTCAGATACAGGTGTTCTTTTTTTTTTTTTTTTGAGTTGAGGGTGGTTTTTTATGAAACCAAATACCACAATTTATAGAGTTGATTGGTGTTAATTTTTTTTTTACAGTGGTGGTTGATGAATTAAATTGGTAGTTGATATTGGCAGTTGGAGTTTATTACTGCAGATTTTGTGGTTGAAAGGAATGGATTGTGGAATTTTTATTTTTACACAATTGTTAAATTGTAATTTTGGTTTCTCAATTTTGAATATGAAAAGTTGAAATCTAACGATTTTTGTCTTTTGCCATTTTGCTGTTGGAGATGTGATTTTGTGTTGAAAATTGAAATTGTGCAAAATATGCAAATTATAGGTATACATGATGCTGTTGGAGTTGCTCTAAGCAATAGAAATTACTCCTGCTGCAATTAGAACCGGCCGACAAGCTTATGGAATTGTTATAAGAAGCTTATTGCAAACCTAATAGAAACGGGTAATCTGCAGCCGTTCGTTAGTAATTTACTGCATCAAATTTGGTTTTATTCAGCACACAAAATCGTTAGCGTTTATCAGATTAGAGTCATGAAAACGGGGAAGACGTTGATTCCAACTCCATGGATATGATATCCGATTTTCCGAAAGACATCTTGCAGAGAATACTTTATTTTCTCTCTCAAGAAGATGCTATCCGAACATCTGTACTGTCAAAATCATGGCGTAATATTTGGTGCGCTCGTCCCAATCTTGATTTGTCTGACAAAATCTTCAAAGGAGACAAACAAGAATTTCTATTCTTTGTGGGAAATAACTTACAGCGATACCGTGATCAAAGGATGCGCTTGGAGGAATTTGGCCTCCGTATATTTCTAGGTAATTACGAATTTGTTTCGCTTCTTGAAAAACGGGTCGCAACTCTAAAGAATATGGGCGTGAAGGAGTTTCGTCTTTCTATTTATTCGAGACGTGTTCAGAGACGAAGAAGGAGATATGTTAAACTGCCGTCTCTAGTCTTTGAGGCAGAATCGCTCCAAGATTTGCATGCGGAAGGATTCACGTTGGACCAAACGAGTATTGGAAGGAATATTCTCTGTAAGCATCTGAAGAAACTTCGTCTCGAAAAGATTGAAATTGAGGACGGGGTTTTTGAGAAGATAATTACAAGCTGCCCTTTGATCGAAACTATGATTCTCAAATCATGCAAGGGGTTAACAAACATCAAGGCGAACAATCTTCGTCGTCTCAAGCACTTTACTTTTTCTGTTATAGGATTTCCTGACTCACCACTTTGTAGCATTGAAATCCATCCCCCGTCTCTTGAAACAGTCGAAATTGAGCACGCTAATATTTTGATTCACAAAGGTGCGCAGTTTCGTAATCTCAATAGTGTACGTATGAACGACGTCAAAATCTCGTCGGTGGACAGCTTTTGTTCGTGTAAATTCCCAAGTTTAAAAGAGTTGGCTCTTTCAGACTGTGACGGACTCGAAGAATCCATACAAAAATCACATGTATTTATTGATGCACCAAACATGGACTCTTTTGTATATCACGGATTTTTTATCCCGTCCATCTCGTTTTCGACGACTTCTAGAGAGTGGAGTTCAACTTTGTCTCTGGATTTTACGGGTGCTCCTTCGTCGTGGTTACCCAACCTGCATAAAATGCTCGAGTCGTTAAGCCGGTCTAAAATTTCTCTCACTATTTGCCAGTTGTGCTTCGTTTACGATGAGGTCATAATTCAAGGATGCCTTGATCTGGTACAGGGTATTAAAGGTGGAAATAAACCTGCAGTTGTGGTGAAGAAGTTGTTATTGTGTGGTAACTCATCTTACTTTTCACCTCTTTTGAACGGGTTGTTGTGCATTTGTCGTCCAAGAAAGATCGGTGATATCAACTACACGGACTCCGAGTCGGTGTTGAAGAATCTAATGCAGAGAGAAGGTGGAAACCAAGATGAATTAAGACAACTGTGGCTGCCGGATTTGGAGGAATTACGCTTGGAGATTTACGACAATAACCGAAGAAAATGGGATCCGACAAGTTTTGCAAATTTGCCTGAATACGAGGAAGGGAAACGTATTCGTACTCGCTTTGCATTGAAATGGAGGGAAAACTTGTGAGTCTGTGAGAAATGATTTATTAGTCTGCTGATAGTTCTCGAATCGTATATATTGATTTATAAAAACATTGTTTTAATTTTATTCTAAAAGTGTTCATTGTGATTTTCCGTCCTCAAACTTATCGTCTCTATGTTCAGTTATCTAGGCTAGTTGTAAATTCGCACTAATGTGATATTTAATCGAAAGGTTTTTTTTTGGGAGCACCATTCTGAATAAGCCTTTTGGCCCCGTTTCCTACTCTCGAGTCCAGAAGCCGGAATAAGAGGGTGTTTGGCTAAGCTTATAAGATGTTAAAATGAGCTTATAAGATGTTTTAGAGCTTATAAGCTCTTCCAAAGTGTTTGGTAATTTTTTAGAAAAAGATCTTATTTTTTTAACAAATAAGCTGTTGGAGAACAAATAAGATCTTTTTAAATAAGTACATCTACCCTCACCTTTTTATTTAAGATCTTATAATGAGTAAAAATAGGAAATAAGCTCATTATCCAAACACTCTAAAAATTGATCCTAAAAATAAGATATAACAGCTTATCAGCTCTTAAAACATCTTATCAGACGTAAGAGCTTATCAGGTGTTTAAAATAAGCTTAGCCAAACACCCTCTAAAACTCACGAATCGCATCTGAATTTCTAAAATATAATTTTGATTTATTCCGCAGTCATCAACAATTAGGATTTTATCACTAGATCGTGGGATTTCGTTCCGAATAAGTTGATCATTAATTTGTTCGAAAATGATGATATAAGCAGCAAAAAAAAAAAAAAAAAAAAATTGATAGTTTTTTTATATATATGGAATTATATATGATGATGAAAAAGGACAATCAATCATTGAATTTCTTTTGTTACGATGTGGAGAGCTATCACATTAATAAAAAAAAAAAAAAAGTGAGAGAAACAATAATTGTACTAGTATTTATCGCGACATGTTACATTTGCACGAGAAAAAACAGTGTGGAACTGAGTTTCTTATAATTATGAAAGTTGTCGAGAAGGAAAAATAATGCAGTGACGAACACTATTCGGACTATTGAGTGTACAGCGTCTGTAGTTGGCTTTGCTCAATGAGTTTAAATTTAATACTTAGTTAAAATATCCAAGATTTTAAGGTAGGTTTATGCAATATTATTTAAAGAGGATGAGTTTTATGTATAGTTAAATCTAACGTCAATGGACGTAAATGTAATTTACCAGATATTCAATTAAGTTTAAATTAAGGTTATTCTACCCAATTAAGGTTGTTAACTTTTAAAGAAAAGGTTATTAAAGGTAAAAGTAGAATTTAGAAGAAAACAATAATTACATGGAGTTAAATATTAGCCGGAATAAAATTTCAAGGGAGGGATATATATAAGTGATAACAAAATTGTTGAAATTGTGTTTGATAATACCTCTCTTAACAGTATGTACCGAATCTAATACATTGTCAGTGATCTGTATATTTTGGACAATTGTCATATGAAATAAGTTACACATTACCAAAATAATGTTTGATGAAATAAAATTATTTTACAATAAATTAGTTTGATAAAGAATTTTTAGTGGAGTCCATAGTAAGTTTATTACAGTGCAAATCAACCTACAAATGAAGAATAATTAAGCACATAAGTAATAAAAATAACATTGTTATTTAATATTAGTTTTCAATAATCACCTTCATAATCCCTGGAAAACTTAATGTTAGACAATATTGCTAGTAAATTAATTACTTGATTCCAACTTGATGAATAGTGATATGCCACCTCTAATCTTAACTATAGATATTGTGGCGTATAATTGTCAATGACACGGGTAATAATAATATTATTCCTATTGCGATTGATGTTGATGTCGTTGTTGGTATTGATTTTGTTATAGTTGTTGATATTGTTGTATTGCTTTTGCTATTCCTAATGTTAATGCAACTCCTAATAGTAATGTTAATGCTAATACTAATGTTAATTCTAATACAAATCTAATAAATACTAATACTAATACTAAAACTGACACTAATAATAATACTAATGTTAATCAAAATAAAGTACTAATACTTATATAAATACTAATATTAATACGAATACTAACACTTACATTAATACTAATGTTAATGTCAGTGTTAAATCAATGAAAATGGGTTAAATTTGCCAAAAAAAAAACAGCAAACAAGTTAAATAGTAAAAAAGAATTAGTTAAATGAATTAAATTGAAAAAAAAAAAAAATAGATTAAAAGGTTAAATAATTGAATCATTGGTTATTAATAAATGTATAAAAAGTGGGGGTTAAAAGGGTCAAATACAAGTTAAACCGGACTGAACCGGAATCATGAATGCAGATCTGCCACCCTCTCTTCTTACTCTTCAGTAAAGTAAAACTCAACAATGGCGATGCAGAAGAATCAGGGTAGCTGCTGCCTCTAAGCTTCTCATTCTCGTCGGCGCAGGTTCTTCCCTTCTCTCTCTACCTCTCTCTCTCTCTCTCTACTTACATATTTGTTTGTGCCTGTAATTTATTTGTACGGTGCTTCAGTTCAAACTTAGTTTTTTTTTTTTTTTTACTGGGTCATGGAATTGAACTCAGCTGATTTCTTCGAAGGTTTGAAGTTTAACTCAATGTTAAATCGCGATTGATTATATTTTTAAGTTCTATTAACTGGATCTGTCATTTTGAGTAGCCGATTTGATTTCTCCTTCAAAACCTGATTTCAAAAAAAAAAAAAAAAAAAAAAATTAAACGAAGCTGAAAAAATCACCTGGTAAACATAATGCCGCTGTTCTAACAACTCAGTTGCCCCATATGTGCTTCGCCGTTTCAATTCACTGTCGATCGTCTTAAATTTTTATTAGGTATGAAGACGAACACGAATCGTTTATTTGATGCATTGATTTTGCTTATTTACATAGATTTTGGTGCATAGAATTTTCAAGTTCAATGGGTTGTTTGTCAATTTGTGTTAAAATTCAAGATGTTGAGTACCTAATTAAAGTTTAGACAAATGTGCCCAAGTTTTTTTCGATAAGTTAGTTTTCTAATCATGCACTCCTAGTTAAAAGCTATACTCACTAGTTCCGGTAACTTTTAACCCGACGGAAAAAGCAAATACGACTTGCATAAGCTTTACTCTAAACCTATATCGACAAAATTTATGCACTTCTGGATATCGAAATGTACAAAAAGAACTGCAAATGTCTTGTATCAATGTTCTTCAAAATAGGTTGATTTTTTTTTTACGGAATTTTATGAAAAGGACATGGATTCACCGATTTTTCGTCTTTCGTTGTAAATCCCCTTTTCTTCAGGTTCGACAGTTGACTAAAGAGACCGAAGAGTCAAGTTTATCCAAACCCTGTCACCGTTTTGAATGAATATTTTGTTGCATTAAACATTGTATATCCCAATCGGACAAGGCTCGATGTTTTTCTGAGTGGGGAAAGAAGGAACTTACATAAATGTAAGCATGGCGTGGGGAACAACAATGCGCAAGTGCGAAGGCGACAAAGAGAACGCTGGATCGGTGATTCTGGAACGTCCGTTGAAGCTCTGGTCTCTGATAATCGACAGCGTGCGGTGCGGTGGAGGTATCCAAAAACCGAATCGGTCAAAAAAACAGGCTGGTTCAGACAAGTTATCGGAGCTTTTGAAACAACCTCAGTGGTGCGAGAACGAAGATGAGGTAAAGAGGAAAGAGCAGGTTCTTGAATTGCTTAAGGAAGTAGCCAAAAAATTACAAAACGAAGACTCGATAGAGGTTGTTGTTGAGGGAGCAAAGGATGTTCGAAGGCTGACGAAAGAGGACCCACACGCAAGGACCATTTTAGCCCTGCTGGGGGTCATCCCCCCCCTCGTATCTTTGCTCGACTCTCAAGATCCCACTTTCCACACTCAAATCGCTTCCCTTTACGCTCTACTCAATCTCGCAATTGCAAACGATGCCAACAAAGCAGCCATTGTTAAAGCTGGTGCTATCCACAAAATGCTAAACCTCATCACACCAAATAACGGGCCTCTTTCCGAAGCAGTTGTAGCTAATTTTCTCGGATTGAGTGCGTTGGACTCTAACAAACCAATTATCGGTTCTTCTGGCGCAATTCCGTTTTTGGTGGGCGCTTTGAAGGATGTTGAAGCGAGTTCTCAAGCTAAACAAGACTCTCTTCGAGCTCTTTACAATCTCTCAATATCGCCTTCGAACGTGTGTCATATTCTCGACACTGATTTGATCCCACATTTGTTTGCCAATCTCGGAGACATGGACGCAAGCGAGAGAATCCTCTCCATACTCGGTAATATAGTGTCGGTGGCCGAGGGCAGAAAGGGAATCAGTTCTGTACGAGACGCGTTCCCGATTTTAATCGATGTCTTCAATTGGGCGGATTCGCCCGTTTGCCAAGAGAAAGCCTCGTACATTCTAATGGTGATGGCCCACAAGTCGTACAACGACAGGCAGGCAATGGTCGAGGCCGGAGTTGTTTCTTCTTTGCTGGAGCTGACTCTATTGGGCAGCACTCTGGCGCAGAACAGAGCTTCTAGAATGTTGGAGTGTTTGAGGGTGGAGAAGGGGAAGCAGTTAGTTTCCGTAAACTGTGGGGGGCTGTCGGCCCCACTGTCGTCCACGTCAGCATCGGCGGGCCCCACCCGTCAGAAATTTTCCGATGAAGAGGATGATAACGATGATGATTATGATGAGATGATGAGCAAAGAGAATAAGGCGGTGAAGCAATTGGTGCAGCAGAGTTTGCAGAGCAATATGAAGAGAATGGTGAAGAGAGCTAATTTGGGCCACGATTTTGTTCCGTCTGACCATTTTAAGTCGCTCACATCGAGCTCAACATCGAAGAGCTTGCCGTTTTGAGGGAATTATTCGACTTAAACTTTCACTTGTTTATTAGGAAGTATGGTATATTAGGAATTTTATCTAGTACTAGTGACCTTTTTTTGTCTGTAAGACTTGTTTCAGTTACTTAGGATGTTTATGCAGTAGTAGTGAGGCCTTTCTTTGTGCAAGATGCCTTGTTTGTATTTGTTTATTCAACTTGAATGGCTTTTGGTGAATTTGTTGACACTTTGTTTCTTTTTTTTTCTTTTTCTTTTTTTCTTGGGTGATTACGACCATCCCTCGAGGTAAGGTGAAATTACAACAACCTCTCATGTTTGAAAAATTACAACCACGGGTGGAACTAAGAAATTTGATTAGGGAACAGGCTTTTATGAAATGATATAATGGATGGAGATTAAATTGTTTGGGGATTCGGTCCAATTTTTTTAGTAATTCATAAATGATGAAGCAAAAATAAGTAATATTTTATTTATTTTATGTAAAATAGTATGATTTTAAAAAATATTTTATATTGTAATAATAAATAGGGTAAATTTCATTTTACCCCTTGTACTTTGGCTGGATATCACTTTACCCCTTTCTACTCTCAATTCATCGATTTGCCCCCTTGTACTTTGGCTCGATATCACTTTACCCCCTTCTACTCTCAATTGCATCGATTTGCCCCATGTACTTGAAAAATCATCTCAATGTGGCCCTAGCTGCTAGTTTTCAAACATTTGACATTAACACCGTTTGATCTAAGTTTGAAAATTACAAATTAAAAAAGTCACCCCTCCCTGCTTCCACAATTGTTTCTTCCTAGTTTTAACTGATAATTGGTGTCTGGAGAAAAGGGCCTTGCAACATTCCAA